AAGAATTAAAAATTATAAAAAATTTGTATTCTTTCAAATCGTAATCACCTTAAAAAAAGAAAATTAGATGTTTGAATTTAATGGCATTAGGTGGTTTGATATAATGTAAAGATATTTCATAGTTTGAAGAAGTTGGTAGGTTTATTAAATATTTTGATGCAATGTAACTATATTTGTGATTTGATGGAATCTTGTGACAATCGATGATTTGATGCGATGCAGAGATATATTGTGATATATTGTAATTTGATGTAATATAATAAATTTTATTATCTTACGATATATATGATTATTGTATTTCTATTTAGAATTAAATTATATAAAAATAACCCACTAAATTGCTTAAATATGTCTCGAAATGTACCTATATGTCGTGACTCGTGACTTAGATCATGTTCATTTTTATAACTTCCACAAATTGCTTTTATTTTTCTCATTTTAACAAATTAATAGAAAATTATTTTTATTATTTTTCAAACTTGTTAAATTATTTATAGTTAAATTTATAGTGTACTTAATATGAGTTAATAGTATATACATAAAAAAAATTAAAAATAAACCTTATGATTAATTCTGTGCAACGAAATTTTTCTAGTGCGGATGAATTTTGTATACATCCCTTTTGTTTCATTTTAATTTTTTTAAATTATTAGCTATGTTTATTTGTAGTATATATTTTCTGTGTGGTATTTAAATACACTAGTTTTATTTAAAAATTATACAATATATACCTAAATATTAGATCAAAGTGTTTCAACCTCTGTACCTCAAAAACTACATGTAAATCACTATAAAAAGTAAGTGTTTTTTTCACGTAATTATATTTTTACATAACATCACAACATTCTTCTCACTATAGATAATAGAAATTTTTTTAACAATAACAAAAAATATAGCATTCTACTACTCTAAAATATTTTTTGCTAGCTTAAATTTATATTCTATCAACACATCCCACATTTAACTCTTTTTTTTTCTTTTCTTTTTTCATGTAAACGACTGTCTTTTAACGTTGAAAGACTTATCAAGTGTACCCTTGTATACTCACGGTCTTACAATAATAATGTCATATAAATCATATAATTCATGTCATAATTTCTTTTATTATTTATATCGACCATTTATTTATTCTTGTAACATGTATTAATTAATTCTTTTGGATATAACAAAACAGACTAATTTAAAAGTTTATAATCTTCAAAAACAATGTGGTTTAAGTGTATATTATAAAATAAAATAAAAAACTCCATATTTTTAAGCGCACTTTGTTAGATTTATAATCTTCATGATTGTGCCCTTCTTTGCTAGAAGTTGGCATATTGGTTCGCCTTTCTCTAAATGTATATTTATAATAAAAATATATATTGGTGTGTACTACTTCGATTGAATCAAAAAATCAAATCAAATTAACTCGGATTTTTTATTTGATTTTAATTTTATAATTTACTTTGTTTTATTTTTTGTTTTGGTTTCACATTTAGAAAAAGGAAAATTGAAAAATTGAAAAATCGAATTATAAATATATATATAATCTTTTAAAAATTGCGAATATAACTTTGTTATGTTTCTAATTATTGACATACAAAATCAAAAAAAGAAAAATCAAACGAAATTTATTTTGATTTCGATTGGATTACACTTCTTCAAAACTGAAAATAGAAAATCTAAACCGAATAGTATAAAACCAAACCAAACCAAAAAACCGAATGCAATCCCCTTATCCTGCATACAATCTTCAATAATAGCTCTAAGAAAACGATATTGCATGTCTTCATCCTGAATATAACAAATAGACAATTTGTTTCCTCCTCGAATTGTTGGTAGCCCATTGTTTTTGCTATGTTTAGTTTCTCTGTTTATGCTAATTAAGATTAATTATTTCTATGCTCAAAACAAATCACCACGGGTGGGACTCGAGCAATACGTGTGATAAAGATTGCTCTAATGTAATTAAACATTCTCCTTTAAATTCCTTTTTAACATCTTTATTATTTCTTTATTAATGGTCGGTTTTGTTCTTCTAGAAAGCAAATATTGCACTAAGGATTAGGTTTATTCTACTAATTATAATTATTGATAGGATTAGGTTATTTATTTACTAGCTACAATTCTCTTCCATCTCACACTTAATTCATAGAGATCTTACTATTCTCATAATCTCAATAAATTGAGTGCAATCTATTTTGGAATATAGTAACAATACTATGCTCTTTTTAAAAAATTATTATAATATGCAAACTGGATTTATGGAGATCTACATTGATGAGGTTTCTTTTTAGGTTAACATGCTTTTTATTCTATTACAAATATGAATCATTTTGGTGTTTTTTTTAAAAAAAAACTTTAGTAGTCCCACATAAAAAAAATTAACTGGGTTGGTAACTAATTGAAAAAAGTAGTGAAAAGCAATTAGCAATTTTGATGATATGAGCTAGCCTAAATCCCTATTTATATTACTTTAGAATAAAGAAGATTATCTCCTTATAAGGTTATAAGAAAATTATATTGTAAAATATTAAACATGGTAAGTATTACACATATAGTAAATACAAATAAAAAAGATCTTATATTAATTAATATTATGAAATGAGATAATGCATAAGTACTCACTTCAAAATCTACTCCAAAATCCCAGAGACACACTTATATTATACTAAGGTTATATTAGCCCTTAAACTTATTTTATTAATAATTTTTTTCCTTTTTCGTCCTACGTGACACTATATTGTGGATCCAACGCTGATTGACTCAATAACTATATATGGTAGGTAGAAACTGTAATTGATGTAATTAACATTTTCCAAACTTGCGATGTTTTGTTGGCGAAAGATTAATTAGAATAAATTTTTGAATGAAATTTTCGAGCCATTTTTTATTTTCATCGCAAAATAAGAAATTAAGATATAATTCTACTCGATAATGAAGCTAAACTATGGAACAATCTGATTAAATTAGAGTTTAAGTTACATATATATTCAAGTATATATTTTTCTTTTTACACAATCAAATTATCAAAAAAAAGTATGTATCAATTTTTCATTTAATTTTATAAGCTCGAGCATTAAAAAGTACTTATATTATATACCTCATACACACAATAAGTGATGTGAGACACTAACATGTGTCTTCGTTATGGTCTACCCCCTTACTCCAAACCTTAGGACTTAACTCCATTTTTAGAATTTTAAGAAAGAAATTATTATCTCTAACTATCCAATTGTTGTGTATTTTTATAATTTATCACCAAATTATAACAAATTAATATGATTTGATGTTTATATCGAATTCAATTCTTTTTTTTTTCTATATGAATATTTTATAGCATCAATCAAAATATTATCTTAAAATCACTTTGATCCTTCTTATCATTATCCCAATTATCCTAATCCGTGGTAGTTAAATGATTCAATGATATGATTTCATTTGTTTTCTTATATTTCACTAGCATGAATATGAGATAACTTTTGCCTACGAAGGTTAAACACATAAAAAGTGAATATATCTAGTTGGGTTTCCAAATTTATATACATAATAACATATTATATTCAAGATTGAAATGATGATAGCTTCACGGATGTTCCATACATTTCATTGGCCTACAATGCAAAGACAAAATAATCCCACAAATATAAGAAACCATATCTCTGAATCTAACCCTGCTGCTGGACTCAGTTCATAAAAGCAATAAATGTAACGTTTTTAAAGGTAACAAAAGAATCCATATTTTTATTGCAATTATCTCATTTTGATTCTCTGGCCTGTAAAAAAGGATCCAAAGATTTAAAAAGAAAAATTAATCCAAGTTATCCATTTAAAAAAGTATAAAAGATCAGCATAAACAAATTGATTTTATCTAGTACAAAATTTTATTTTACTTTTTTTGGGGCAAATCTACGAACACAAATCGAATGAAATGATTCTTTGTTTGTCCATTTGTTGGGTACTTAGGCATCAAATACTATATTTATTTGCAGCAAAAAGAACATTTCTTTTTTGTGTTTTCTTTATAGCACATGACTAGTAGGCCCCCCTTTTAATAGGTCCCAAACACTAAAAAAACAAGTCATACTTAACTTTTTTTTCCCTCTTTGATATACAAAAAAACATGCATTTTCTTGAAACTTAAACGTATCTTTGTGGACCAGGGACGGAACTAGAAAGGATCAAGTATTCGATAAAAAATTACACTATCTATACGTGAAGACAATATATTTATATAAATAAATATATTATTGTTGAAAAACAAAGATTTACAACATCAACTAAGCAAACTAAATCAAGAAAATCAATCAAGAATCTACTCCTATAATTAAGTTAGCTATATATGGAAGATACACTATTTACTGTAGCGCATATATATTTAATTTAGCCTTCCAATGTGTTTTTACTTTTTATTATATTTCGAACATGAAAAGTCTGGCTCGGCCGTTGTTTGAGGACACATTAGATGCCATCCATACCTTGTGCAGTGTCCTTTTCATTCAATCTAAATAGGGATACGCAATGTTTGCCTTTCAACAACAAACGGGTATGCCACTAGTAAGTAACCAAAGGTATTAACCCCATACATGGAAAAACTTATCCTTAATCATAAATGCTAAAATAATATGTTTGATGAAAAAAGCAACTGTTAAGAAAAGTTCAAAGATTGAGGAAATCTTTCTTTTTTCTTATGACTTTTTCTATTCAACTTGTCATATATATGTGATGGCTGGCTGGCTTTTTTATTTTTTTTTAATTATATATAGACTATAGTCTTATATTATATTTATTAACACTACTAAACTAAAGATACCCAAACAAAAGGGAACTAAAAAGAAAAAATCCTTCAAATTCTTCCACTTAAAAGTAGTCAGTCTTCATACGGTTTCTTTACCACTCAATATAAGTTGACTCTACCACTCATATAATCTTTAAATTTCCTCCTCAATTCTTCATTCTTCACACACACACACAAAAAAAAAAAATCTTTTCTTCCATTTTTTTTTTTAATTGAAAAGATGACATGCCAAAGCTTAGTATTAACTCGAAAAACGAACGTTTTGTTGGTAAGAAGCTTTACAATTTTGGTACTAATATGTATAGTTATGAAGCCAGAAGTTTGTTTCTCTAGTGTCTTGTCTTCATTGAAGGCTCTTCATTTACAAGGCTATATAACTTTTGAAAACAATGAATTTGCATCCCGAGATTTCGGGAATCAAATTCACTCACATCCTTTAGCAGTAGTACACCCGAAATCTGTTACTGACATTTCAGAGATAGTAACACATGTCTGGCAAATGGGCCCGGCCTCAGAACTGACCGTGGCAGCAAGAGGCCACGGTCATTCTCTTCAAGGCCAGGCCCAAACGCGCGGAGGAGTTATAATCAATATGGAATCATTGCAGCAGGATCAAGAAATGCAAGTTTACTACAATGGAGTGAAATTCCCTTATGTTGATGTCTCAGCTGGTGAATTGTGGATAAACATATTGCATGAGACATTGAGATATGGATTAGCACCTAAATCCTGGACTGATTATCTACATCTTACTGTTGGAGGTACTCTGTCTAATGCTGGCATCAGTGGACAGGCATTTCGTCACGGCCCTCAAATCAGTAATGTCCACCAGCTGGAAGTTGTAACAGGTTTTGCTAAAACTAAATTGATTTTCAACAAAATATCGAAATTTCAGCACGTGACCTAATTCGACAGATGATGAATATTGGATTCATTGCAGGAAAAGGAGAAGTACTAATTTGTTCACAAGAACAGAATGCTGACCTCTTTCATGCTGTTCTTGGAGGACTTGGTCAGTTTGGCATAATAACTAAAGCAAGAATCTCACTCGAAAGAGCCCCGAAAATGGTAAACTATAAATATCATAAGAGTTTGAAGCTATTGTGTTTTTTCGAGTTTTATTATTATTATTATTGAACATGTTGTTGTTTCGTTTTTTTCAACAGGTGAAATGGATAAGAGTGTTGTACTCTGATTTCTCCGCATTTGCTAGAGATCAAGAGCGTTTGATATCTGCATTGAAAACATTCGATTACATAGAAGGACTTGTGATTAAGAACAAAACAGGTTTACTGAATAACTGGAGAACATCTTTTGACCCTCAAGATCCTGTTCAAGCAAGCCACTTTGTATCAGATGGAAGAACACTCTATTGCCTTGAACTAACCAAAAATTTATACCCCGAAAATTTCGATACAGTAAATCAGGTAAGACATGTTCATATACTTGAAACAGGGCTGATTTTTTTTTTTATACGAAACAACTCTCACATATAAAATGCTGGTTGTTGTTTTTACACAGGAAATTGAAGACTTATTATCCCAACTAAGTTATATTCCATCAACACTTTTCATGTCAGAAGTTCCATACATAGATTTTTTAGACAGAGTTCATGCATCAGAGCTAATACTTCGATCGAAAGGACTTTGGGATCTTCCACATCCATGGCTCAATCTTCTAGTCCCTAAAAGCAAAATACAACACTTTGCTAATGAAGTTTTTGGCAACATACTAAGTGATACAAACAATGGACCTGTTCTTGTCTATCCAATTCATAAATCAAAGTAATTTTAACGTTCCGCGTGTACATAAAAAATCTACTACTTCTTGTACAATGAATTGACATGTTTACTTTTTTTATTTTTAAATTTTTTTCAGGGTGGATAACAGGACTTCATTTGTTTGTCCAGATGAAGATATTATCTATCTTGTAGCCTTTTTATCCCATGCAAATCCTTCATCTAGCGGAACGGACAGTTTACAACATGTTTTAACTCAGAACAAAAGAATTTTAGACTTCTGTGAGGTGTCACACCTTGGAGTGAAGCAATATTTGCCTCATTACACAACACAGGAACAATGGAGGAAACACTTTGGTCCAAAATGGGATGTTTTTGTACAGAGGAAGTCTGTTTATGACCCTTTAGCCATGCTTGCTCCTGGACAGAATATCTTCCAAAAAGCAATATCAGTTTCATAACAAATGTTGTTATTTGAAACTGATAGCAACAACTAATTCTACGTTAGGTAAATATGAAGCACGATCGAATAGAAAATGAATTCTACTTTGTTGTAGCCAATGTAAAATGTGAATAATAGCTATTAACTTCATATACTACTTCTTATGCCTTTTCTGCACATGTAAGTTTAAGAGAAGGCTAGCTAGATTCAGTAGCACTATTAGGCAAAAAGAAAGTAATGTATCAAGATGCAATAGGAGAAAAATATTGACACAAATGTATGAATTCTTTCATTAATACTCATGGTATTGTATCTCCTGTTTTGATTTTTCTGATACTATAAGAATGTTACTTATGCAGCAAAATCAAGAAGACAATTCAATAATAACCGCGAAAATCAAGCATTCATTAGAACGATAACACATCACAGTGCTTAACTCTGTGACAGTCATTTCATTAAAACAGGACTTTAACCTACATGATTTCATCATATACAACAATAACTTGAGAAGCACAATCACGAGATGAAACAACGATTAGTTAATAAGAAGAATTTGGCTGAAAGGGTTCGAATTATTATATCTATATTACTATATATTGCAGAGCAATAAAATCATAATTAACATCATTTTTTGTTCTTGATTTTTAGTTAATTTGTTCTTGCTTTCTTGCTTCTGATCACAAGAAAGCAAGAGAAGAAAATCACAAGTCTATGATATTATTGTCCCAAAAGAGCCATAAACTTTTTTGCGACTATTATTTACTTTTTAGTTCTTTTTTTGTCACTTTTAGTTATACAACCTGTAAACTATTATTGATGAACATGACTTTTCAATAAAAAGTAAGAGCTCTATGCTACAGATCTTGTTCAGTTTTACTTTTTTATTGAACTAAAGTTCGATCGATAAATACTATGAATTTGATAATTTTCACTATCTTATGAATTTTTTATGAGCAAACAATACAACTTAAAAATTCAATTACATATCCAAACAAAACTTCGAGTGCGTTGTAAACATGTTGACATTTATGTTCATAATGCAAGGTTCTATTTATGAACAGTAATAATATTCCCTTGTTCAATCAAAAAGGAATGGTTATAAAGCATAAAGACTTGTTCTGATCAGAACCACCAAAGCTAACTGATTTTTCAAAAATTAGTTATAATAATCTTCTAGAAAAAGATCAGAATCATTTGTTGTATAATACTCAAGTATAGCAAAAATTCTTAGGGTCAATGAAGCCAGAGTTTGATTTATAATAACGATAACAACAATGCCTCAATATCAAACAAGCCTAGATACTCACTCGATCATATCAATCCTCATTAATAAGGCATTGCTAGTTCTTGATAAGGGGGTTCAATTGGATTCCCTTACGCGTATGGTACAAACATAAAAAATAATGAACCTTTTTGACTATATATATATAAACTTGATTTTAAGAAGTTGAGACCGACCATATGAATCCTTTTTTACGAACGCTCCGTTCTTCTATCACCTGAGGATCTCAATATATTTTCAATCCGATCAAGTCCACCCATTTGCTTCCACGATACTGATTATCTAACATGACAATCCGTATATGCAATGATGATAAGCAGATGAAATATTCCATACTTTGTTAAATAACAATAAAATCAGATATTCGTAAATTGGGCGCCACTCATAAAACAGTGTTGACTAGTATATAATGATGAACCTGATTGAACAAATTCAATGGTTATAAAAATGAACTCTGAATACCAATGTTATTAGATAAGACTAAAAACGACCATATTACTAAATTCTAACTTGTTTGGAATTGACATTTAAGGATGTGTTTGGTACAATAGAAAATCTTTTATCTAAAAAATAAGTGAATTTTTTACTTAGTTTTAGTGTTTCGATAAATAAGTAAAAACGAAGCATCTCAAGTGCATTTATATCACTATTAGAAACATAGATTTTCCATCCGGTATGATTAATGAAAAATTTATGCTATAAAACATGATTTTTCAATGCACTGAAAAAATGCATGATGAAACATAAATTCTCACTGAAATACTGAGAAACAACTTTCTTATTTTTCCGTATGAAAACACTATATATTACTATTTTTTTCTTTGGTTTTTGTCACACATTCAATTAAAATATATATATCTATAGGAATATAACCCCTAAAAAGTTTCAATAAAAAGTTTCCATGGGAGAATAATGAATGTTTAGTAATGTATGTAAGCTAACGAAATATTATGAGCGTGCAATGGGGTGAGGAGTGGGGGTGGCTAGGGGGACGTTAATGGATAGAGAGGAGACGATAAGCTTAAAAATCACCTATCAAACTTGTTTTCTCTGCTTCCATTAAAAATACAATTTTTTAAAAAAAAATTATTTATGAAAATATTCTTTTCAACCAAACACGGAAAAATGTTTTTTTCTCATATACCAAATATATATTCCTTAGTATTTGTTGGTTGATAATGTGAAGGGTCGGTCAAAATGAGAAGATAGGATCTTTGCATGAATTGGGCGGTGGCATGAAAGGTAGGCATTGAAATGCATGTGAACAAGTTTGAAAAAAGAGTACAACTTTAAACCATAAAAGGAAAATACATGAATAAGGAATATATATATATATATATATCATATATATATGAACGAACACCATTATCACAAAAATGACTATTACATCTGGTCGAGATTCCAATCGTTATACGTGGCACATTTAAGATTTTTATTAAGAGAGAGTTTGAAAATATAGAATTTTAACTTAAATTTTATAGCTTCGAAATCATTAAATTAACTTTTAATCTTATCTTGATGAGATTTAAAATTTGTATATATACACTAAAAAATAATTCTTATAGTGTAATGTTTACACTAGATTCGTCGCTTATGACAACCAAGTTCCAACTACTCCTAATGATCAGGGTGGAGCTACATAAATGTAATGTATTGGGTAACACCAATATTCTGCATATAACAAGGCCCATGAGGGGATAGAGTAGCATGAATGAGACTCATGATCAAACATGACGTTTGTTTAATGGACTTAGTTAAGAATTAAAAGAGAAATTTTTGCATATTTAGCCACTCAAAAAAACCATAATTACACTCTGTAGTTTGTTAATTACGATTTGTAGCTATAGGTTATAGGGAGGAGAGTGGTGAGCGAGACTGGAAGAGGGAGGAGAGAGGCGAGCAAGAGAGGACGCAGAGTGGGAGAGAGATTACATATATATATTGGTATATTGGTTAGATAGTTATATATTATACATACATATTTGTACATTCTGGCAAGAGAGATTGGGAAAGGGGGGAGAGAGGCGAGCGAGGGAGGACAATAATTTGTATAATTCACATCTTATTTGTATGATTCATATGGTTTTGTATAATTGGGTAATATAAAGTATGGAATTATACAAATATAAAAAAAACTCGAAATAATGAATTGATACAAACATAAACATATGGACTTTAAATAATTACACAAAATATATTATACAAATTACATTATATAAATTATATGATACAAAATCCAAAAAGTACACGTTTATACAAACTTTAAAAAGTTCTACACAAAACAGATTGAAGGTATATGATGATAAATTTGAAAAAACCCAAAGAAATCATCGCCATATACAAATACAAATCAAATAAAGGGAAAATTGTATATAATGGCAAACTATTAATTCAAATTAAATGTTATAACTAGGTTTGATTTAATTGTGCCCGTAGCAAAGATGTTGTCAGTTGCCTCTCTCCCTTAAACTCTTGCTCGCCACGCTTTCCCTCTCTCATTCGATATCCCCCCTCGCCTATCTCGTTTTATACAAATATAAATGTATAAATTGTATTCCTGTTTGTATAAAGCAAGAGAAAATTGTATATATACATGCAAATACATATATCTTTGTCCTATATACTTATAATTATACAATACAAATATTTTCCTACCCAGTCTTCTTTTGTTTTTCTCTCTTTGTCTCTTTACACAAACACAAATTATAAAAAATACAACGTATAATTTATATTTGTATAAAGCTAGAGAGATACCGATATTTGATGTATAAACGTTTTATTTCGATTCAACTGTATACAAATTCAAATTTTATACAGATATACAAACACATAAAATTGAATTGAAGGATGTCAACAATTTATAGCACTCTATACAAATGGTATGCCAGCGAAATTATATAAATCTGAAGAGGAGCCAGCGAATTATACAATTGTTTCTTTTGTATATATGTATAGAGAAATAGCCACTGCCTTTTGTATATATGTAGCGAAAATAGCATAGCAAAGTTTGTTATGGAGTGCAATTATGCAAACTATAGTTATAGTGTACAAATATAATTTTTGTGTCTGCTATATGTGAAAGTTGCTCAATAAAGAATTGTGAGCTGTGAATTATACAAATGTGGCTAATTATAAATATACAAATGCGGTTAATTAGACAAACACGAAGTCAGCCCACGTAATTAATGTATAATGTTAGTCGTGATGGTAATTATAGCAAATTGTAGCTATGATGAGTAATTAAGTAGTATAAATTTGCTTAACCGCATTATTTTTTCATAAATTACGTCTTTGCGATTAGCTATAACTTTTGATATGTTGGTAAGCGCTTGATCCTAACAAGTTTATCAAAGTCAAGGTCGTGAGTTCGATTCGCTAGAGCAACTTGCTTGAGGTATGTGTTGGATAACGCCAACATCCTACCTTGACCGCTTGATCCTAACAAATGTAATAAAAAAAGTTTTAATTTGTTAAACTTCTTCATTGGAAAATTATATATTATGCATAATATGATAAAAGAATGTTTAGCTAAACTTTTTCGTCGAAACATTATATTGAAATATATGTATAGAAAAAATATTTCTATGTATAAAATAAGATAATTAATGCTTCTGGAGTGACAACGGGTGTTTGAAATAAAATTTATTTTAAGTCGTAGGGTGATTTTTTCTACTTGAGGAATATTTTCAAACAAAAATTAGGATAGCAATAAAAACGAATTCATAATTTAAATTTAG